GTACAGCCCTTCCTCTTTTTCTTTAACATACAAATGTAACTTCAGTCACTAGGGGTCTCTCAATCAAAAACAATAGCAAAAGAGCAGGTTTGATGATGTTGTAAAGCAGCGTGGGATCCTGGGAGTTGGAATTGTAAAATTTCTCTGGGTGTGAACATGGTTGGAAACATTTTGGATGATCTTACTAGACAAGTCAACATATAACATAGTTTATACATTAAAATGAATAATTGTTACATTTTATATCTTTAAGTCAAGGAAATATCAATTTCCCACATCAATTCTGCACCGTCTTCTGTCTTCGTTTTCTCATCTCACTAAATCCAAACTGCATTTTCCCAAGGAGATCGTATAAATATGAATGGTGGAGCGAGCCAGTCGAGGAGCATAGAAATAAACTCGTGGCCCCGTGTCTTGGCTCCCAGGTCGATCACAAGGGCTAAGACCGGGCTTACAGCCGCTTCGTCGAGACTGCACCAAGGTTGAGGATGAAAGAAAGATCTATTTCTGCCCGAGCTCTCCTTTGTAATTAGAGAGGAATCCATATGGCGTAGTTTCTCAAGCAAGTCTACAATTGTGCCGAGCCATAATTTACTTAATTACTTTGAGACGCCTCTTTGATTCAGTCAATATCAAAAAGAGCTTTTTGGAGGAGAGGTAGGGAATGATAGTAATTTCAAGGCTCCCTTTCTTTTTTTCTCCTTCTTCTGGTGAGCAGTAAACTGATTATAGATGAGAGGTTGTCAGATGTGTCTGTTGTGCCTTTTTCACTTGGTGATGGAGTGATTTAAGAGTGAGGACTTCAGTGAAAGTATACTTAAAAAACCAAGAGAAACAGCTAATATTGATCCCATCTTTCTGTCTGCCTAAAATCAAGTGTTGTGATGGGTGCCATTTATTTAAAGTCTATTTGATTCAAATAGTAAATTGGATATGAAACGGTAGAAGCACTTTTCAAGATGCTTTTGCAAGAAAATAAAATGTTTCAGAAATCTGAAGAAAATAAGCTGAAAGTGAAATCCACACACAGACAGAAAAAAAACAACAAAAAAAACAAACCCAAACATCTTCACTAGAGTTCAGCCAACCTTCGGGGATTTGTAAGACCGCTCCATAACATCCTTGAGGCAACGAAAGCTAGGGTGCCACTTACCTGCTGGAAATCCTGCAAGTATTTTTTTTCCTTACCGACGAAGGAGTGTGCCAGGCCTTACTTGAAAGCTGCTCTCTGCAGGGCCGAGATTAGAGGACATTCCTCTCTGTTTCCACTCATGTAGGGAACACGTAAGTGGTCACCGCGGCCCTGTTGCAGCGTGCGGTCTCGGGGCGTCTTTGAAGTGGCGGGATAAGCCGGCCTTGGATGCCAGTGAGTTAAACAAAAAAAAAAGGGCTTGCAGAGGGATTTTGAAACAGAGAAAGGAATCCAGCTCTTCTTCAGATCATTGCCAGCCTCATTTCCCACTGTGTCAGCGAACAGTCAGAGAAGGGGAACAAGGAGAGGGAAAAAATCCTGGAAGGTTTTGAGTCAGACACGTGGGTCGCTTCATTCTTAGACACAAAAGGGAAGGACAAACCTCTCTACAGTAAACATCTGTGTTTCTTTGATTCGGAAAGACTTACAAACGAGTAACATTTTTGGATAGAAGCTTAAAATAGAAATCGGTCAAGAATATGTCATGATTTCAGGGAGCAATTTGACCTGCTGGTGGCGCTAGAGGAATTTTGAGAAGACGAGGATCATTTCTGAACGTTGCTGTCTTGGGTCCACCCTCTGAAATAGTTTATCTAAGAACTTAAACTTTGTTTTTATTTTAGATTTTATATTATTTTGCTCATTGCCTTAAATGATTTGTATTCTTCCTTTAATTAGGTAAATAAAGTTTTTATTATCGTTCCAAAACTTCATGGCAATCCAACTGGTAGTTGTTGTTGGTCCGCTGCATCTTAACGACCAGAAGGACAAATCTGACCCTGACCTTAACCTCAGGGAGCCGAGGAGTCACCAGCCGTGTCTCCAGCGCCAAACTGTCTCGCCAAGCTCAACATGCTTTTGACTCTGCACTGAAAATAGTCTTCAGTTTCCCATCAAACTCAGAAAAACATGTTCTGTATGCGTTTCATATCACAAAAACTGTTGTTGAAATACTAAAACTCAGGAAGCTGACACACACACGGCTGCTAAAATGGAAAATTCTCCTTGTCTCGTGGATCATTGTGCACACTTTTCACTGTAATCCACTCTGACACGCTCTGTATCATCGGAAACTTGTGGGTCTTGACTAGAATTCAAAATGAAGTTCAGCGGGTTTGAACAAATCTTTGGCTCTGCACCATATGCCCGAAGGACGGACCCGCCGGTGGATCTGTGTGGGCTGGAGTGAGTACGAAGATGTTACAATAATCATACAAGCGTTGTTTTTCGAGGGAAGGTTTCGGCACATGAATAATGTGTGACCCCGGGTTATTGCTGAAGACAGTGATTGTATCTGTGATGAAGAATGGGCTCAAGTATTGTATCAACCACAAAGTCATGGACTGTATTATTCACAGAAACAGGCCCCTTCAAAGAGATAAAACACTTTATATGGAACAAGAATTTCTAACAGTGGTCATTCAAAGAAACATTAGCACCCTAAATGCATTTTCTTATTCAGCTCTATTGTCTCAATGTGTTTTTTGTTCAGAATTTGACAGAAACCATCTTTGAGAGGTGATGGGGAGGTCAGGGTGAATGGATAAGTCATCCAAACTTTGGACTTTAAAACTGGAGGCTACTGTTTGTTTCCCATATCCAAAGTAAACACATCTCTTCCTGGTTCTTCACCGCAAGTTGTTTTGAGCCTGTACCAAACAAAATCTTCCAAATTGTAATGATTCAATAGATTATTGCTTCAGAAGCCACTTTATTTTTGTAAGGTCAGTGAAACAACCCATTAAACATATGCATATTCAACGAAACTTTCTGGAAATGCAGTTTCTATATCTGTTAGCAACAGATGCTGCAGCAGCTAACGTGATGTGACACTGCTGTTTTGTTTGTTATAGGCCCATTATGACTGTGAATAGTTTTGTATATATTCATTATTTATTTATTATTTCATTGAATTATTTAAGTGGTATACATGTGCACATACCAATCATAGGTCATAATAAACTGCTGCATGCAGGTGTATTATAAAAGCCACTACTAAAATAAGAGCCGCCTTGGAGCGTAAAGAGGCAAATTGCTATCACATATTTTTACTCCTTTTCTATTGATTTTTATAACCAGACAGACTTGTATGGCATAAAACAAAGTAATTGCATCACATTTTGCTCTTGTAACATCGAACATTGTATTATTGGTGATCTTGTAGTAGCTTATCAGACGTGTTTGAGGTTCACGAGAATGTATATCTGACCTCCAAATGTTTAGAAGGGCCGTGCAGAAGTGAAATGCTCACAACACGGAAGAAGCTGGGCCTGAGGGAGGTAAAGTAAAGGTGAGAGACATTAGGCTCCTGTTGCAGCACCGCTGCAGCCGTCAAGCTGCAAATCCAAGTCGTCCTGAGATAGCAACGTACCCATAAGCAAAAAAACCCAGCTCCAGGTGAGGCCTGATCCCTCGGTTGTTGCTCTGATGGTTACCACACAATCACGCACTGCCCAACTGCACCAGTGGAGTATGTGCTGAGCTTTTATGCATTTGATACCACATACATTTCCTCCCCTCCGCAGCCTCTCTGTGTCTCTCTTCACTGGCCTGTCAAATTGCCAGTTGGAGAAAAAGATGGTGGAGCCTGGGTTTTTTCTTGCACAGACAAAAAAGAACCCACAGGTTGTCTGGCCATGTCTAAGTGACAGGTGTCCAAGTGTGTGTGTGTGAGATAGAGTGTGCATGTGTGAGTCCAGTCAGACGACAGATCCTGCTAATCCTGTCCGTCCCGAAGGACAGGCAGTGTGACTGGGTAATTGGCCACTGACTGAGCAAGACCACTCTGGAGGCACTGCTTATTGAACCACTGTCAGAGGGAGAGAGGGAGATGAGGTGGAGGCATAACGAGACTGGAGAGGAACGGAAAATGCAGGACAAAATCAAGAAAAGGATGAAGGGCAGGGAAAGCAAAGAGAAGCGATGCACGCAGGAATAAATAAAGACAGAACGAACAAGGATCATGTGAGGCGACGGAGGGAGCATGGGTGGGTGGGTGATAGAGGTGGAGAGAGAGAAAGAAAAAAAGAATAGAAGTGAGAGTGAGGTGAGGAGAATTTGAGAGTGACCCCGAAGCCACCGTTTCCTCCTCACTCAGCTGAAATGTGACACTTTCATGATTACGCTGGACCATCTTTTTTTGGGGAGGGGGTCTTAATCTTAAAAGGATGAGCGAGGATGAGGGGATGCATGGGGATGGGAGAGAGTGGGAGAAGAGGGGGTGAGGCATGGTGATGGAAGTGTCGGTTAATACACCCCTCCTCCTGCTGGCCACCTAACAAATTGCCTTGTGAAAGCAGAAGTGATGGATAAATAAAGAATGAAATAAAAAAAAAACTATATCCCTCCAGCAAATTGGCTGTCATTGGATTATCCCCCATAAAGGGGGATTTGTGCGTGTGTATGTGTGACCACCTTCTTGCATCACATAGATGTTCTGTGGTTGTGTGTGTGTGCGCGCGTGTGTTTGTGTGTGTGGTAGTATTAGGCCCAGGCAGAAAAGGTAGAAGGCGAGAGAGGATTGGATGTGCAATCATTGCTTCATCGGCTCCATTAAACACACCAATGGCCTGTAAATCACAACACACACACACACACAAGTTGAAACAGTTGTATGCTAGTAACTTTTAGCAATATTTATGATATCTGCAATTATGTTATGCTATGCAATGTTTTTTTGTCATTTCATGTTATATTACATTACGTTTTGTTACGTTACTTTATGTTACTTTAAGTTATTTAACGTTACGTGGCAATAAACTCAATATTAATAACAAATCTAATTACTTACACATAAAGCAGTTAACATTACAATTTATTATAGTTTTTTTCCGACCACATGGTAAAAATTTAAGTCTAATTTACATGCACGCCATGCTGTGAAATGTACATTAAAGTGAGTGTACACTCCAAAAATATGTATTTCATTAGAGGTCAGAGGTTGAAGTGTCACTGAGGATCCAGTGGAACAGTCTTATTTGACCAGTTCAGCAGTAAGACCAGCTGCCCTCCAGGTGATCCTATAAAGGAGCATGGTTCATGATTCAGCAGTGAGTTCTTTTTTCTCGCCTGGCATCCTCTCTAAGCCGGAGCAAAACTCCAGAAGTCGAGGACCTGTCACGTCTGAGAACATTTAGAGTTGAAAGAGAAGAATAGGAGGCTCAATGAAAACATAAAAAAGATATGAGCGGGATCAAGAAAAAGATGAGTATGAAGGGTCATTGAGTGGGCAGAGGAGGAACAGCTTGTCCGAGCCAAAGAAATCAATAAGTGCTTGAGAGTCAACAGCATGTGGGTGGTCAATGGCTTGATTCAAGCTCATTAGCACAGGGTTTGACTTCAGCGTTTGACCTCATACCCGCCCGGCCCACACTCACAGTTTTTAACCTACATCTGTTAATGAAGGCAGTTTTTGACACATCTGACTGCAGTGCAGGAAAACACAGTTGAAAACACGAGAGAAATACAACAAACGAGAACTATGTGTTGCTTCAGCAGGGGCGTTTCAAGGGATTTTGGGGGCTCCAGGTCAAAAGGGATCTAGGGGGCCTAGATATAATCAGAATAAAATCAAAATAATCAAAATATTAGCAAACACTCAACGCCCTCCTAGGCCCATCATACACACATATTTAGATGTTATAATATTCAACAAAACCTCTAACATTATGAAGCACCAGGCAATTTCCCTCTTTGCCCACCCTGTTTTAATGCCCCTGTGCTTCAGTGGGGAATTTCACTTTATAGTTCATGTGGCACCTCCCTGGTATCCCTCATACGAAAAACAATATAGCCCACTGTATAACAAAAGAATGTCCCAGCCACTCTTCTATTCTTCCCTTCAGTCATTTAAAATCAAATTAAAATGACTGATAGCAACCAATCAATGGTAATTTCTGCAAATGATGCAGTACCGTTTCAAACTCCAGTCAAGTATTGATTCAGCTGCACCCTGCAGTAAGACATTTGTCTTCTGTTAAAAACAATCTCTTGTAATTACCTTAAACTGCCTTTTTTATATCAGGGAAGGAGAAATTAACCAGAGCTACCAGCATGCAACAGATTACAGGACATTAGAATACAATATAATAATGTGTGCAGTCATCTTGAGGTGCTGGAGGTTTGAATGAAAATGAAGTAATGTATGCACTCATTTTGAAATCCCTGAGGTTCTTCTTGATCACAGTAAGATAGACGCCACGCTTAGTATTTTTCTCGCAGCTTCATAGTAGCATTGGTGGCTGGCTGCAATGGAGGTCATCATCCTGCCCCCTCCTTATTAGTGGATGGGACATGGATCATTGATACATCTTTTTTAAAGATGTCATTTTACGTAGCTGACTGATAGTTTCCTAGTAAAAAAGTTTGTAAGTTGCTGCTTTGACCTGAGTTTGATCAGAAACGTGGGCGTCTGGGTCTCAGATAAACTCAATTCAATTCATTTTTAGCTTGATTCACTCCAGACCTCTGCTCATTTTAAAAAAAGGCCATTGGGTTTTGCTTTGAGGACAGATTTACTATGAAAACCTATAATCAAAGTGTAAAAGTTTCAAATCAGTGCAACATAAAACAACTGCAGAGGAGACCACGCGTTGGGGATAATTGCATAACCAGTTTCATCGTGTCAATAAAGTTCTTATGTAAGTGTAAGAAATCAGCCTTTTCACCGTGGTAATGAGTCCCTCGCTGCTTACAGAATCAAGCTGCTTTTTAAGTGGTTGACCTGTTGGTTCGTTAGTGTTTCAGTTCGTCTCAAGGCAAAGATCCACGTTGCATCCAAATATCGTTCCTCACATCACTGTGCGTAAATTATGGCCGCATTTTTGCTTTGATAAGGAAATCACAGGCTCTGCGATGACCACCAAGGATGCCCCCGGCCAGCATGAGGCAGCGGGTGAGATCTTTACGACAAGGTTAACAGATGATCAGCAAAGAGTGGCTCCCTGTGGCCCTCACATGGGCCCTGCTCCTTCCTTTCCTTCCCCCTCAGTCTCAATCAATATCTGTTAACAAAAGCTCTGCGGGGCTCCTCTCCGCTCTCCGCACTCTTATTCATATTTCAGGATGTTATTAGAGCGTGCAGCGAAATGTCAGGATCTTTACAAGGTAAATATCTTTCAGAATGTCACACGGAGAGTCGGGGAGGAGGGGGCGGTGAAACTACTTTTCTTCTCGGCTCTGTTTTTCACTGTCACTGCTGCGAGCTGCCAACATTAGGGCAAGAATGATTTCCTCGCCAGCGACTATTTCACAAAGCCATTTGTTTCTGCCGTGTTTTCAATGATCATATTGGCGTGGGTGTTTGCATTTTAATGGCTGAGCTGCAGAGGCTGTGGCGGAGGGGGAGCTGCTGTGTTTTTAATGCTACAGGAACCTTTAAATCGAGGGTGCTCTCAGACTTTTCAGTTTGTTACAACCAAAATAACAAGTGTGAAAGGAGCTTCATGCTAAAGGACCAAAAGTTAGCCTGAACGAACCAATTGGAGGAAGTTCAAACAGCATTAAACAAAAGAAGAAGAAAAAGAAGCAGCTTCTTACACCTCCGACGATATAATGTTTGAGCGGAGAGAACATGGCATTCACTAATGTCAAGTCCTGTAGGGACTGCATATAAAGATTGACGACTTGAGTGCTCCCCTTAAATGAAACAACATAGGTAAAAAAAACTGTCTTCTCCATGTTAGTAGCTGGGACATGGATCAAACTAAAAAGTAACATGTTTACAAAGATGGTTTCTGTCATTTTAGGTTATTCTTGTGTCCATTTTTCTGGTAAGTTTGGTTTGATCCTGGCTCCAAATCGAAAGAGGCACTATTCATATCAGGGATTATTTTTGGCTTTATTTCTGCATAGTGGGAGGAAGTGGAGACATGGCGGCCATCAGATTTAGTCTGTGGCCTGATGCTGGTGATGCTGGTAGTGTTTAATAACAAGCTGATGTCAGACACTCTCCCTTCTGCAAACCAATCGATCGTCACACAAAAGTGAAAGTCTAACCAGATCGAATGTAAACAATATGGGGAACAGCAGCAGGTTAGTGCATGTATGCCACTGCACTTTCACCCGTGTTCTCCACAAATTGCCAGAGGCCGCCTTTCTCCATGTGTGTCACAGCAGCAGCGATCGGAGGCGATAAGGCTGCCTCTTCTCCATTACTCTCTTCCCTTCACATTTCTTTTTCATCTCTCAATCAAGCAGACGACAAGCATGTCTGCAGAAATATTGATCTGATCAGAGCACTGAGATGAACAGTGGCCGGGCCTGCAGGTATAGGAAGCAGACGGAGTCGACTCCGAGGCTCATTTCAAGTCGTGCACGTGAGGAGCAAGGCTCAGCTGCATGAGGGGCCTGTTGATCAGAGGAGAATGAGAGTCGGACTCTGGTGAGACACACACTCTCTCTCCTCCTTACTCCTCTCCTCCGTTACACATCAGCAGTGACAACAACTGCTGCCTCACCCAAAACATGAAATGTGTATTTCTACCAGGGATCATGTCTATTTTTGAGTTGTCTGGGTGTTTTTTTCCCTTACTGAACATCTGTGTGATGCTCCCGAGCGACAGCTTCGCCTGCCTTGATCAGCGAAGCAGAAAGACAGGGGAGGAGAAGGAGAGAGGGAGGGAGAGAAAGAGAAATGGCGCCGTTTCAGGTGATGACAACATCTTCGTCAACCTCTGGGATTGTGGGTAATGAGGCTCTCGTGGGAAAGCCAGCTTGGTGATGTCACAGTACTGAGATGAACAAGCACTCTCAAGATTCATTTGACAGAAAGCAGGGAAGCGCTCGGGCTGCTGCTTTGCCAGAATATCTCTTGCTCCTGTCTTCTTCGTTGGTGACAATGGGAGCGGCGACAGCTCCTGACTGACCTCATTCATTGTCGCATCTGCGAGGAAAATGTCTGACAACCTCCCATCTTCGCTTCACGTTTACCAGCTGCAGTTTTTCACTTGTTCCGTCCCACACAGACACACACACACTCGGCCATCTGGGTAATTATGACTTATGGCTGACAAAGCTACCTCTCCTTTTTATTTACCCCTCAGCTTGTTGACAGCACAGACGAGTCATGTGCGTGTGGGTGTGTGAGTGCGTGTGTGTGTGTACATCTACTGTACACACTCTCACATAGATTATCTTCCATGCACGCTGCAATCACCATTTTTATCTTGCAACTGAAGACAAGAAATGATAATTGCAAGAAAGTGACATCTCTGAATTATTCTGTCCATTTAAAAACGTACCTTAGATCCTTCTTTGCGTCTTCCAGGCCTTTGTTTGTCATTGTGTCTCCTGTGCTGAAGAGGACTGAGCAGGGATAAGAAGCATACGAGCTTCCCATTGTATCTCATACCTCCCTGGCTGTGCTTCTGAGGCTGGTGCTTGTGGTTGGTTCTTCTTTCGAGCTGCTGCAGCCTGACTGGTTGCTGAGATGTGAACCTCTGGTCCCACAGTGCCACCTATTGACCAATATGAAAGCAGGAATTTACAGTATGCAAAGGGTCATTTAAGCTTTGGCACCAATTCTTGCTCAGTTTTTTCTTGAGGAAAAGGAAGAAGATTAAACCATAAAATAATATTTTAAAAGTAGATATTCAGTTTCACTTAAACCTTTATTCAGCCCAGGAAAGTCGCCAAATAAAACTGTTATTGAGGTCACCAGAGGGGGGGACTTCAAAAAGGGGAACTCACTTTGGAGCGAAGCTGAATGACGTATTAAATCTTTCATCGTTTCCCATTCTCCTGTAACCTCGTTGCACCGGTGGAGCTGAGGCCGAGACGTTGTGGAAAGGCAACAGCCATCCATCATGTCCAATTATGCCGTTTAGATGTAATTGCAAACCCTCAAGGATTGCTCTTCCGTCCTCATCCCTGCACACGCAGACGCATGGACACACACACACCTGCAGGGGAGAGAAAGGGTAGAATATCAGCGTCGGTGCTGCCGACAGAGAGATGGAGGAGAGGGAGGGAGGCCTCCGACTCCACATGCATTTCACAGACAATCAAATCAGAGCAAGCATTCGATGCATCACTGACAAATTGTTTATTAAACAAAGGGCTTGAATTGCAGCGTAACGGAGAAAGATTCGGGAGACGGAGGGAGATAAGACTTTATTGTGTGTGTGTGGCTGCACGCACATATTGTATGCCCATGTGAGGACGACAGCTTTGCACAAACACACCATCTATGTCTTTTTTCCTACTAGGGGAAGCCTGCAATCGTTTTTTAAAAAGAAAAATACCGTCAGGATATAAAACTGACGGTTAACAGATAGGTCATGAACGGAGCGTGGAACTAACACTGTTAACACTGGTGGATTCCCAATGGGGGCCACCCACGTTCACTCATGTGGCACCATGGAGAAGCACTCTGGTTAAAAGCACCCAGCGTATGGTATGTTAATGTGCTCCGATCATTTGTTTCCCGCTGTCATCTCCCACATTAAAAAATAAAGAACCTAAAGGTCGAATGGAAGCATAATTCTTATTTTATTCTTTTAGGCGTGTGTGAATATGCTGCATGCTATCATGTATAATGTCATCTTGAAATAAATATCAATTGGTGTCATGCTGGATATCAAAGAAGTAAACCAAAAATGTAACCAGGTTTGAAGGGTACAAAAACATCACTTAAAGGTCCAGTGTGTAAGATTTAGGTGAAAGGGAACTATTGGCAGAAATGTAATGTAGAATAATCTTTATGATGTTTTCACTAGTTTGTTTCATCTAAATTGTACAAATCGTAGTTTTCTTTACCCAAGAAAAGGCCATTTATATTTGAATACTTTATATTTACATGGAGGGGGGTCCTCTCTACAGGGGCTGCCATGTTTTTTACATTAGTCCAGACTGGACAAACCCTTAAGTTTTTATGACAACTGAAGGCTGCCAGAGATTCTTTTTCATGTTTGGAAGGAGAGGGTAAGGTTAAGGGTGTTCAGCTGCAATTCTACACACTGTACCTTTAATTTAAAGTATTTAAAAAACAATTTGCTTTGTGCTACATGCTTTGATTGGACATTAAAACATTATTTTACTCATAACTCTGTGTATATGTACTCATGACTGTGTATATTTATAACTTTTGCGATGCTGAACTCAGACCCACAGCTACTGTGAAACCTTAGGGCATGAATATTTACGACTCAGAATATCAGTCACTCAAACAAACACATTCATACACACGTATCTAGTGCCTCTTATATTACATATATGAATAGACTTACAAATTCTAAATGTCTACATGTAGATAGATATCCCATGAACAAGTTTTAATTTTGTCTAGTTTTTGGTCAACTTACTTACAGTTGTCATGGAGACCTTGTTTTTTTCACTTCACTCGTATATGGGGTATTATTATTTAATTCCAGAACAGTAAACTTCAAAATATCCTCTGCCACTGATGACTGAGGGATTTCAGCTTTTTATTGTGATGATAAATGACATCTGAGGGTTTGGTAGTTTGCACCATACAACAAAAGTAAAAAGTTTCACAGCTCACAAACAGCTAAATATCATCAGATGAGCTCTTCCATTAGATCTGATAACAGGGATGTAATAAATGCAGCTCCTTTGAGAGAAACTTTGGAGTCCGTGATGTAGGGCGGAGCAGGAGACTAAAGGTCAGCTCCTGATTCTCCTGCCGCTGAATTGTTCCTCTACGTGGGGCGATGACACCTGTCAGTCAGCCGGCGCCGGAGACCTTTCCACGGCCACAAAGGCCATTCGCAGGCTATTGAGCGAGAGAGGATGCCTTCATGAGAAATGTCATGGATGTTGTGATAAAAAAATGAGGTCAGTGGAGTGTGAGTGGCCTGTGAGAGTTCTTTTTTGGGAGGGGGGGGGGGTTCATGTCAAAACTCCAGAGTAGGAGTGTGTCACTGACATCTCGCCACTGTTGGCTCTTTGAAATGTGATACAGCCGTTTTCCTAGTGTGTGCGTGTGTGTGTGTAAGGAAGGTCCAGATATGTGTGTGGCTTTCTGTGTGGTCAGTAGGTGACATGGTGTGATGCATGTCTTTAATAAAAGTCCATTAACTGTGTGTGTATGTGTGTGTGTGACCGTATGCATGCAGGAGAACAGAATGTGTGTGTTTCTCTGAGCTTCCTTTGTACTCGGGCCAATGCCTGTACTTGTGTGAGCTAGTGCATGTTCCCAGGAGTGTCTGCATGTGTGTGTGTGTGTCTGACCCTGAGTGCAGCAGAACAGAATGTGTGTCCTCGTGTGCGTGATGGGCCGTGAATCAGAGCTCAGTGTGCAGGTTATTTCACGCCTCTCCCACCGGGACGGGCCTGATCACCAGCCAGGCTGCTGTCTGTTACCCCTCACCCTCAGGTTCACTGACCCCAACCATATTTTTCTTCTTTCCCGTCTTTTGTTTTCACTTTCTCCTCCCTGCCCCCCACATAGTGTGACTTCTTCTCACTCTCGTTCCACCCCATATTTCATCTTCACCCTCCCTACACATTTGCTTTCTTTTAAAATTAGCCAACAACCCAAGGTAGTTTCTGCACCATAACAGATGCCAGGGTAAAAAAAAAACACATGGTGGTGCAGGTTGGAAAGCGAAAGTTCTCCGGGTCCCACGCAGATCTATTCAGTGCAGCGCGAGCGCTGACAAACCACACAGAAACCCACTGATCTTGAACGCCGCTCGCCCACCACAACAGCAGGCTATAACTAATCCATCTCCCAGTACATGTTTTTAATGAGCCTCCATAACCATAATCCGTATGGTGCAGTGCAGGGAAAAGCCAAATCGAGCCGTTTCCATGACTTTGTGCTGTCAGCAAAACCTGATGAGGGGGGTGTGTGTGTGTGTGTGTGTGTGTGTGTGTGTGTGTAACTTTCACTGAGCATCTGTCTCGTCAGTGTGCCATCCTGGTTGACAATTTTCCATCTGGTATAAGTCGGATGTGTGTGTGTCTGTCTGTCTGTCTGTCTATTTAGGATCTTTCTAGTTACCTGCATCATCCTTGGATTATTGGGAACTGAAGCTGATGGGATTGGCAACCGTGTGTGTGTGTGTGTGTGTGTGTGAGGGAGCAGAGACAGAATCTGCACAGGGCCCTGCTCTGAAACACCCACAGGGCCCACATTAGGGACCCCCGGGGGGCCAAATTAGAGGCCTTTAACCAAGTTAGAGATCGGAGCCTGACTGGCAGGGATTGACTGATTTCACTGCAGCCCTCTGAACAAAACACACACACACACACACACACACACACACCTCCTCTCTTTGTTTTGCAGCTGATCAGCAGAAGATAAAAGCCTCTTCCTGACAATGGCAGCCCCTCTGCTGGGGGAGTCTGCAGGGAGATCCAGACACAGAGGAAGAGCCGTAATGTATTCCTGTAGCTCACAGTCTGTATTAGAGCGTCTGCATCAGGGGGAAGTGATTTAAACTCATTTAGCGTTCAGAGTTTTTCTCAGTGAAATCTTATTATTGGTCTTAAACAGATGTTCTTACCGGAAAAACTTCCACGAGCATGTTTGTTTTTATGTTTTAGGGTTTATTTAATTGTCTATACATTGAATAATAGATGGTTATGTCATTAAGATTCAAGACCATTAAGCAATTGAATAATCTTGTTAAAGGAAATCTATAATTTCATAAATCTCTGTCATAAATTTATGGATTACAACTTTCATTTTATGGTTAATATTTTAAATTAAAGTAATTTTAAAGTATTAAAAGTTTTCATGGTATTTATAATTAAAAAACTGTAAAATTATAAAGTAAATTCATGTGAAACGACTTTCTCTCAAGTAAACTATTAAACGTTTTTTAAATAACACACTACATTTCTGTGAAACAACTTTTTTACAGTGAAACAATGGAAAGAGAGAAACAACGTTCTTGAACAATTTAAAAGTCAAATGCTGCCGTCTGCTAAATCTCCACTTGCCGTGATGGTAATGAGAAAAGACTTTTATAAACAGAAACTGGTCCGGGTCGGAGAGTGAATGGCGTTCACTGCCCTCATGAGGCGAATCCATCAACACCCTCGGGGGGTTTGCAAAGCCGCTCGGTCTTCGGTGTCAAGGCCACATGGTGGACAGGTCTGCAGGGTTCGGCAGAGCTGCTCGTAAAACTGAGATTTATGGACATCTCCTGCGACGCTTCACAAAAGTCACCACCACGGACAGGAAGCGGGGGGGGGGGGGGCGTGTCTTGAACCTCTGCCAGCACGCGTGTCAATCAAAACGCACTGTTTTCTCATTCCATAAATCTGGCACTGCTGAGGCCTTCAGTTATGACAGCACTCAGGAGTGTGTGAGGCCTGTTTAACCTCTTAATCTCTTCATTTCGCCAAATAAAACTCAACTACATGTAGAAAGAAGTGCTCTAGACTGTATGACACTTTCCAAATGTGCTTGTTCTGGCCCTGAAAGTACAGTGAATCATGCTGTTGGGTGAAACAGCCAAGATTTATGGCTGACCTTAGATTTAGATATTCCAGATCTGTAATGCATCATTTTTATGCACTTTTCAAAAGTCGCTCTCACAGAAATTATATTTTTTTAAACCCTTGGATCTCCACAAGAATTGAAAGCTGAAACTTTATTTTCCTAAAAGAACAAAACCAACTTTGTGTTGGATAGATTTGATTTTGTTTTGACAGGATTTGACTTCACCTCAGCTCCAGATCTGAAGGAATTGTATTGTTTATATCATCTATTTTAATTTTTAAAAAGGCCCAGTAACTCTGCAGGTTTTTTTTTTATAGATGATACTCTAATAGGAACAAATTGTGCATAAGAAAACATCTTTGTACCATAGCCTTCTCCTAATTTGACCTTTTTATCTGATGGCTGTTTGGTTTTGTTTTAACCTCGTGTTTTAATCCTGTTTTATTTATTCAACAACTTTTTCTTATAATTCCTTGCTTGTTTATGTTTAGATCAAAGTGCTTGAATTGAGTTATTTCCTAGACATTGCTGAGTTAAATATGGTGAAATAGTAAACGTCTCACCTTCAGTTGTGTTAAGTGGGAAAGGAAGAGAGGTAAGTTTCAAAGATGGAATCCTTCAGGCTGGAGTCCAATTGAGTCATTAGCTGTGGGCGGAGGCTCAGCCAGGTGCCTGCTCACTCCTTTAGTCAGAAGACAACAGCAGCACTTCTCCCTGTAAGCACCAAAAACTCAGGTCACGAGTTGTGATGGGGCCCGGAGAAGCAGTGTTGCTGGGGTTTGTGCTTCTCTTCTCATGTGGAGACCTTGGCGTGTCCTCGCACAGCCGGCTCAACGTCAGCACCAACGAGACTCCCTCAGTGAGCCAAATCCCACAAATGACAGCGAGGTCACTGCAGACGATAGATCACCAGCCTAACGGGTCGGGGAGCGAGCCGGAGCGTTCTCCCGTCACGTACCGGCTCAGGAGCTACCAGCTCAGGAAGCAGAAACCCACCGGGCCTCTTGTGGAGCAGACGCAGGCCCGAGAGCAGGAAACAGCTCCAGAGTTGTTAAAACTGCCGTTTCAAGGCCCAGACCTGAACCCACGTCCCAAGCAGGAATCAAAAGTACACATTTCTACACATTAACTCAATCCACACTGCAAATGGGCTCAGTGTAAACGAATGTGAACAATTTCGTAGGTGCCGCTGAAGGCGGAGCAGCGGGTGCCGGTGGCTGCAGAGAGTGTGGTGGTGCGCTGCGGAGAAACAGAGGTCACCGTGGAGGTCAAGAAGAACTTCTTGGGTGAGTAATGGCAAACAGCTTGAATTGATCACATGTTCTCTGTTTTTCTTTTTCACTGAGGTGCATTTAATTTGCCTCCTGCTCTGATGTTTAAAGAAAAAGAGTTAGAGGCCTGGTTTGGAAAATTAGAAGGAGCGGCACGACACTGTGCTTATTACTGAAAATTGCACAGACTATTGACTGGAGCGGTCGATACTGTGTTTCCTCTTATTCCTCCAATCCGAGAATTCTTGGTACTCGAACGCTGACTTTACAGCGATACATTAAGTAACCTTTTTTTTTTTATTTGTCCTGTAGCTGAACCCCCACTTGCTGAGTGTTATTGACTGGGGCCTCAGGTAATGGTATCCATTTAAACCGTGCTTTCCCTCTTTGATCTCAAAGGAAATGGTCGGCAGATCCGAGCGAGCGATCTGACATTAGGAGGCTGCGCCGGAGTCGACACCGCTGACCACGTCCTGCAGTTCCACACAGAACTACAAGGCTGTGGCAGCACGTTGAAGGTGCGCGTAAATATTGTAAATAATAATTACAAAAATCTTGACTCCCAGCCTCCCTGTTCCCCTCCTGTGTATGAAGTGGCTGTAACTGTTCTCTGCTCTCTCTTAGATGACTGAAGGAGCCCTTGTCTACTCCTTCTCCCTCATCTACTCTCCGACACCCATAGGCGACACCTTCATTCTGAAGACCAACCCTGCTGAGGTGGGAATTGAATGCCACTATCGAAGGTAAAGCCTCATTTTCCTCCTCGCCAGGTAAATGAAATTATAGAGGCCATGTGCTGTTTCCCATCAAAAGGCCTGAAACCCTGCAGAAACCTTTTGTGAGTGAGATGCATCTTCTTCCTCACAGGAGGCATTACGTGAGCAGCAACGCCATGAGGCCCATCTGGACGCAGTTCTCCTCTGACGTGCTCGCGGAGCAGCGGCACCACTTCTCCCTGCGTCTCATGACAGGTGGGAACGGGGGGGGGGGGGTGACAAACTCAGATGCACAAACTTTAATTTGCGGCAGGCGGTCTGACTAATTTCACCAGCGAAGGGTGTTAATTGCAATCACTCTGGGTCTTGGAGACGTCGGCGTGACTGCCTGAAGACGCTGAGCAGTGACTCAATAAACAGGAGTGAAACTTTGGTGTGTAGTGTTTTCAAACTGAATCTAATCTCTGTCCACACAAGTGTTTTGGCACCGTATTTGTTTAATCTGTGTTCGCACTAACAAGCCTGAGTAAGAGCTTGAATAACAGTTGTATCTATAGTATTTAACTGCGAAGACAACAACATCAGCAACGCTTGTCATAAATATTAATTATATATGTTGCGTTCTGTATAGCCGAGGTTAATGCCAGTGGTTTTCTTCCTGTTTCAGCGTCTCTAAAACTCTTGTGTTGATGTAGCATTACATTGCATCCCTTGTAGGCTGCACGGACGACAATGCAATCAAAAAAGAGCTAGTTATGTTTCCTAATAATAAGATGTCAGCCTAACAGAACCCTAGAATGTACTGATTGTGATATTTGCATGGCCTGTATGAAGTTATGAAGGGAATTATGAAAGTTTTAAATGAGGTTTTGCAGGCACAGAGCCTCATCTGTGTTTCTTATCAAGGTTCGTCATCATCTAATTCATTTGTTGCCCTCTCTTTAAAGTACTTTCCTCTTATTGTTCCAGTACCTATCCTTTCCTCCGCTGCTGCTCTGACCCTCTCTCCCCCATGGGCATCATTTGAGTTTCATCTAATCCGATTGAAGGCCCCAGCATTACTTTTCCACTTATATTTTGTCCCTCTTCTGTATTCGATTAGAGGACTGGCAGTCGCAGCGGCCATCCAGCGTTTTCTTCCTGAGTGACGTCATGCACATCGAAGCGGCCGTCCTGCAGGGTCACCACGTTCCCCTGAGGGTCTTTGTGGACAGCTGTGTGGCCACGGCAGAGCCCGATCCCTTCTCCCAACCCAGATACCCCTTCATCAGCAACCACGGGTGAGACGCTGGACAGAAACAAGTTTATGCATCGGCCTAAAATAGCCAGCTTGTCGTGATAATTGAGATTTATGTTTAAAACAGTTGCATATCATTCTGTACCAGTGAGAGAATGAGTGGCTGGTGCTGTGTTTGTGAATATTTTTGCCATATAAGGTGTCTAACTGATGCTAAGCTGACAGGAGCCAAGTCTTACTTCATGCAAAGAAGCCGGCAGGATAAACTTCACTTTCTGCTCAAAGCCTTCAGGTTCCAGCAAAATCACAGCAGCTCGGTGAGTGCAGCTCGTCCAAGGAGTGTTTTTATACGACCGATCGTGTATCATGTTGTCAGACGCTTGACTGTTCAGGCAGATTTTCTTTTACTTTCTTGTCTGAGCCATCTGGTAACTGTAGAAATGTGTGTTTTACAGCAGTCGAGGTGTTTCTTTAACCTTCTTTTTCTTCTGTTATGTGTGGATACTTCAGGAAGGAAATAGAGAATCCAGTATTTTTAGATAGTTCTGAAAAAAATGCAAGAATATGCAGCCTGTGCAGTGTTTTCAGTTGTTGCAATCCATTTTTTAATGTGTGTATCTTCGTAGCTCTACATCACATGTCATATGAAAGTGACGACGGTCTCTGTTCCCATCGACTCGCAGCACAAAGCGTGTTCATTCCTCACTGAGGCCAACAGGTTAGTCCCCATAAATGGATCTGGGATCATTTGATATAGAACCTTTCAAACTTCTTCTTGTCTGGCGGCTTCGACAACCCCGAAAAGATTGGAAAACAAGGCCAGTTTTCAAAAATCACTGAGTTATCCCTTCATTTCTTATTTGGATGATTCTCAACACTGTATCCGTGCTCTTGTCCTTAATTCACCACCTTGTCTCCGGACAGATGGGTGGCGTCAGGTGGGGACAATGAGGTGTGTGGCTGCTGTGAAAGCAGCTGCGACAAGCAGAGATGGAGAAGAAGCCTCGTGGTGGACACTGGTATGATTTTACAGAAGAATCGCAACATTACACTAACCCTAACCCAAGTGGTTTCTTGCAAGTAAAATATAATCACCCACAGACAAATAGAGGAGCAGAGGTTCCGCCCATGTTTAGACAAGCTCCCCTGCTTTCATTTGGCACGCACGCTGTTTATTCGTCTTTGGAGGATTTGATTTTTGCGCTCATCCCTTTAATGGTCTGACGAATCAGTCATGTCGTGAATGGTTGACTCAGCTGGTTAATGCACACACAATAGATGTTTCTGTCTCTCCTCCATCGTCTTCTTCTTCCCAAGGTCTTCCTCCGGAGCTGCAGTGGGAGGGGGTGGCCTCTCTAGGCCCCATCCTGCTGGAGGAGAACGTCCTAGAAGAGGTGTCCGAGCTTCCTCCAGAGCCGCTCCCTCTGCTCCACACGCAGGAAGTTACTCAGACAGATACGACAATATGTAACGTCTGTTTTTCTACGCTCACACTTTTGTCATTTTAACAAACTGTATCTGGAACCAATAACGTTTGTCTCCTGCTCCTCAGCCTCTCACCCGTCGATAGACCTGCTGTGTGGAGTTGGTGCGGCGCTGGCCGTGGTGCTGCTAGTTCTCATGGGAGCCGTCACTGTGAGCAGACTACACAAGCTCAATGGATACGATGTCAAAACCTGATCTAAGAGAATAAAACCTTTATACAAACCCACGTTTGTCTTTTATTTCTGTGTCGTGCAGAGGTAAAGACTGAAATCAACCGTCTCAAGTCTCCATTCCAAACACTTTGTTGAATTACTGCAGCCATTGTCTTTATTTGGTCGGATCTACAGTCAGTTCTTATATAGCATTTTTTATTTCTGTTTACGATGATTAAAAATGCTTAAACTCATATAAATAAATTCCAGTCAGTAGACCCACTGTGCCGGACAGATATCCCTGACTTTAGTCCTCGTCTTATCGCTGTAATGCCCCCTGTTTTTTATTTTATTTGTGCTGTTCTGTTGATTTAAAGCCTGATACTCAAACATTGGACGTCTCCATTACCGGCGCCATTACTTCTTTGAAAAATGGTTCCTCACAATAGCGCAATTATTCCTGGGATAGGTTGTGCTAGGAAGGATCCACCTGTTGGAGCTTTTGTTTCTCGGGGATAGGAAGATGCATTTGAGGGAGCCTTCGAACTGGGAAAGCTTATCTCTCGGGTGTCCTTCGCCTTCAGGACCTGTTTCTTCTTCTCAATGATTGTTATGTTTCACTGTTTGGATTCTTCTACCTGATTTAAATGGCAATAAGTTGTGTAGACGAGGCCTTTGACACAAAACGTTATCTGAAGAAGAGGATCCTTTCAAATTTGGTATTGCTGTAAATGTTCACTTAGACTCCCCAGGTCAATGTGGCCTCACAAATCATGTTTTTGGCCTCTTGCACATAAAATCTGCCTTCGGGGAACTTTTGACCAGTTGTCACTTGGTCCCAAGAATAAACTGATTACATTGCAGAGGTCGTACGGTGACCCTCGACCTTTGGTTTGCCAAGGCATACGAGCCCAGGGCCACAACTTCCTCCTGCAGCTGGATCCAGGGTTGATAAGAGCTGTGAGACTGTATCAGAACATTAAGTCACAGCACAATGACCTGAAATAAGCAAAAATGAAATCTGCTTTCATTTCAAAGGACCGAGCCACATTTCTGGCAATAAATGGCAATAAAATGTTATCACAAGTAGAGGGTGGTCAACCTTGCAGGAAATGACCAGGCCATAAAATGTATATTTATCTGCAGCATTCTTTAATATCTGGTATTTAGCTGTGTGCTGATGCATGAGGGAAAAAACTTATTAAATCTGGTTTCCAAAATACACAGGGATGTATAAAGAAGATTAAATATGAAAGAATTGTGCACAACCCTGACAAGGAAGGCGAGTGTGTAAGGTACAAGCTGACCCAGTGTGTCCTCCACGCTGAATTCATGCACGGATGATTTAAACGGTTAATTTTTTGGGGAGCCTGCAGCTACAGTCCGGCTCTCGCCATTACTACTACTATCTTTATATGAATCCACATGTAAAACAAAGCAAACCCTCAGAGGTAAAAAGAGAGAGAAGCAGTGCCGTTAGCTCCACGCTGCGAGGTTAAACATAAAGCACCATACTGGTAACGACAGTCATATTTTAGCTGCGGGCCATTCTCGCCGCCTCCCTGAAATCCCCCCCCCCTCCAGGTTTTGCGGCAGAGCGCTGGTGAAATGGGGCTCGTCGTGAACTGTTGCTCACGAGCCCAGGAAGACGAATAGACATAATTAAAAAGCCTGTAAAAGGCGAGAGCGGGTCCTTTTATTACAGTAATATGTGAGGGGCCTCGCTTTAATGGGGTGTTTGTTCCCATGTGTGGGGGGGCTGACGGCCTCGCTAGTTTACTACCAGAGTGTTGCTGTACGCACCCCCCTCCTCCCCACATCTCCAGAGGATAATAAAAAGCCATATCTAATGATGCACCGGCAGAACACACGACTGCGACATGCGTGCACAGTGATGGACACTCACACGCCGAGTCTCCCCCTGGAAAGAATGGTGGGAAAGAAGATGATTGTGGTTTTTAAAGAGAGGAGACGGAACAGAGGAAAAGAAAAGGGAGGGGAGCAAAAATGATTTGTCACAATGCATGTGCAAATATTTACTGTTCTTATATACTTTTTATGCCTGTTCTGTCTTTAACATTCTTATGAACGTGATATCTCAAGAACGCTTTGGGGGACTCTCCTCAATTTTGGTTCTGAAGTTCAGTTAGACTGACGGATGGACTGATTACATTTTGGTGGCTAAAGGTCAGAGTTCACTTTCACCCTGTCCACATGAATACAGATATTTTGCAAAACAAATCGCTGGTGTAGACTTTATCCCCACCTAGTGGCCCTGCGTGCTTGTTTGAGCTTTTGTAGTCGTTTTGGTGTTCTCTTCTGGACGGAGATGTTTTAATATATTTTGATATATTAGATCGTGTGGACAGAGAGGAAAAAATGTTTAAAAAATATCCTCAGTTGTGTGGAAGAGGCCTTTGACACAAAATGTTTTATTGCCTCAAGAACAGGTTATCTGAAGAAGAGGATGTTTTCAAATTTGGTATTAAATGTTCACTTAGACTCCCAAGGTCAATGTGGCCTCACAAATCATGTTTTTGGCCTCTTGCACATAAAAACTGCCTTCAGGGAACTTTTGACCAGTTGTCACTTGGTCCCAAGAATAAACTGATTACATCTCATAGGTCGTACGGTGACCCTCGACCTCTGGTGAGACTGTATCCGAACATTAAGCCACAGCACAATGACCTGAAATAAGTAAAAATATCAAAAAGTGAAATATGCTTTCATTTCAAAGGACCGAGCCACATTTCCTCAAGTGTGTTTTTTTCCTACATACAGTACAACGCTTGCCTGCAGCTTTACAAGGAGTGTAAAAGGTGTAAAAGTCTTGTTCTGACCACAGAGAATCATCATCATCATCATCATCACACTGGATATGGTTGCCCGCCCACAGATGTCTAACGGAGCCCAAGGTGATAAGCAAAACAGCAGCAGGTCCTGAATCAGCCATTTGTTCCTCGACCCCGAGGGCACACACACACACACACACACACA